GGAGAATTCGATGGTCTAAGCGATCAAACGCTTTTGAAAAGTCCAGGTAGATGACATCGACTCCTGCTGCATCATCAACTGCTTCAGTCCAGCTATCACATGCACTTAATAGGCTCGTAGTACATGAACGCTTTTGACGAAAGCCATGTTGCTCTGGGGCTATTAAGTTTTGGCTTTCCAGTTACTGCATCAGCGCATCTGCGATGATTGGTTCCATCACTTTGGATAGTACAGGAAGTAGTGTTATTGGACGGTACTTGGTAGGGTCAGTACAGCTACCTCCTTTATATATAGAAGTGATGACCCCTTGCTTCCATACTGGTGGAATATGGTTCTCTTCTAGAGATCGCTAATAGAAAACAGCCAGTGGTTCTTCTAGATCACTAGCGACCGCCTGCAGAGCCTTCGGTCGGATGTTGTCGACTCCAGGAGAACTGTGGATACGCAAGGATAACTACTTCTTCAACACAGCTACCGCAGTGTAGGTGATGTTGTCTAAACCCGACGGTGGAGTAATAGAAACGAGGAAAATGTTTGGGCTCGTTACTTGCTGGAAAGTTTGGGAGTAATGAAGCTGTAGGAGATCAGCTGCTTCCATTGCTGATCGCGTGCACCCATCAGCCGTGACTAGTGCTGGAATCCCCCGCTTAACCTTCCGAAGGCCGTTGACGTGTCTGTACAGAAGTTTGCGGTTCGTGCAGAATCACTTCATTAACTCCTGCTGATGCGTGACCTTGTCTTTGCGGATCAGTTTCACACAGAATTTATGATGTGTCACGTATGCAGTCCATGTTTCGGCATTCAAACAGTCCTGGTGATCTCGCCATGCCAAATCCCTCAGGGACATACATTTACGTGTTCTGCTCCTCAGAAATGACTTATGCTTGTTATTGGGTTGGAAGGACTTCTGTTCCGATGCGTGTGCAACAAGTGCTTTACGTCTTTGTGAAGGTTTCGCAGGCAACATCTAGGGGGGATTCGTTTAAGAAAGTCCACGTCGTATCCTTAACAACCTTAGATAACACAACATAGTGCGTGACAGTAAGCACTTTATCAACCTCCTCTTCAGGATACTCCGCGTAGCATATGTAGTCAGAGTAGGGCAACATAATCACTACGACCCAGTGGTGTGCTTGTAACTATCCCGTCAACCATGAGTTCTTCGTTAGTGAGCACAAAATCCAGTATAGACGGCTTGTTAACGGTGTTTACAACAGGAGAGGCCGCAGCGGCGGCCTCCCGGCGGACCTTTGCAGCAATGTCTGCATATGTAACTGATGTTCCGGGGGGCTTTATCTCGACAAGAGACATTTGAGCTGCAGGTACAGTGGGTTAGTGTTCGGCTGCTTCATCCTTGTTAATGCTAGATGTCAGGTTTAGTGGAAGTTGCTTAACCAGACGTTTGGAGTGGTGCCTGATTTTCGTTACCATGAGTACTATTTGACTCTCGTAGGTACGGTCAGTTTTCGCCTGGCGTTCTACCAAAGTTGGAGAAGACAACGGAGATGGGGACGTGGCTGATTGCGGTTCAGGGGAAGCGGATTCTACAACATTTTGTTGCTTAGAAGCCGCTGCGCTTCTGTGATGCATACTCGTTTCCCTTAAAGTAATCTTATCGTTTATCCTCTGCTCGGCTTCTGCGGTTAATCGGTCGCACTTCTGAGCTAGGATAAGCAAGCACTTAATGAGTGGGATGGTGGAGCACGCAGTACAGAACCAAAGTGCATCTTGGGAGCTATTTCGCTCTCGTACCTGTTGTTGGGACACATTTGCACATTTCGGATGATACCATTCCAAATAGTGCGAGGAAGCCAGACGGGTTTTAACTACTCGATGACATTCTCCTAACCCGCAAATGCCTTTCGCTTGGAGCCTTTTCGGATTCGCATTTCTACCATTCACCGTGGTGTCATTACGACACCGTGACAACGCACTTGCACCCACGTCTCATGCGGTTGTAGCTTTTATGGCTTGCGTACGCATCCACTCTACAGTCCGGACTTGGCTCTGCGTGACCTTTTCTGTTTCCAAATGTCAAGCGCATGATATGTATAATCCGTCACGAGTATCCAGAAGTTACAGTAGAGGCCTTTATTGAGCTGTTTGAAGGGTTACCCGCTTCGGCATGGTCTAGCTGCTTCTCCAGATGGTTTGAGTGCATGGAACTTTGCATGAACGCTGTTGGAGAATACTTCGTGAAAATGTAATGCTTGGCTTGTTATAAAAAATAACTTTTTGTGCGTCCGGAAACATATTGCTTTACCCTCGTATTGCTATCGCACCATGTTCTGGAAGCGTTGGTAATTTTATCATCTGGTTGTGATTTACTGCGACGTGCGGTAATTGTTGTTGCTTCCAATGACTTAGTGTTATGGTCTGAGGTTCTGAAAGTTGACTACTTGGAAACATTATACCCACATCTTAGCACCTGACTTTGTGTCATGCACAACTACGATAGGAGTGCTCTTCAAGTGTAAACACTTAGGTAAAGCGCATTGGGCACCAATGCGTCACTTACGCGTGTGCAACTAAAACACTACATTTGACAAAGCACTTGCGATAATCTGAGATCGCCCATCACCACGACACATAACCGGATTCCGCAATGCCTTTAAGTCGTATCACTTTCTGCTTCCATATGAGTGAACTGGTATGATACGTGATGTCTTTATCGTCCCTGCGGCTATGTCCAAAAGCGAATGGTCGAGAACCTATGAGGTCACACTTTACTGGGCTGGTAATTTGCCGCATAAGAAATGTGCATCGACTTGGGGAGCCAAGAGTAGGTTGCCAGTCTGCGAGCCGTTGATTTGTCTGAGGACTTCCTCTGATTCTAACTCGATATTCACTAGTTACTTCATTATTTGCATCTACACTGATGAGTCGGCAAAGAATTAAAGGCTGGTCCTTCCTATAACGGTTGGAAATGCATTGTGCCAAAACACTAAAAGTCCACAACACACTTTAGTTGCATACCGAAATTGTAGACGAAAAACAAACTGGCCAAGAGTTCAGAGTAAATATTCACCTAAAATGCATACTACAAACACAGGTGGGCTTTGGGTGTAATACAGACAAGTTGCGGCAGGCTGAGCAATGAACTTCTGTATTCGCTGAGGAGACTACCTGAGAGCTCCGACCAGTCAGTGTCGGTATTCAAGAGTTCGCGCTTGTGGGGAACACTCGCTGGTCGACATGTGTGATTGCTGTCCGCTTGTCAGGCAAAAATGTGAACGGGTTAGCGGATAGGTTGACGAATATTCGAGACGCTGGCCTATCACTATTTACAGACACAGTGCTGCGTTAAGGACCATTACAATTGGTCGGACTCACAACTAAATGCAGCTACGGAATATTTAATTCTAATGCAGTATCGGGTGTCAGCCAACTTTTCGGGAGCTCATCGAAGGTGTTTTGTGTTCTTTGCACGTTAGTTGGAGTGGTGCCACAGACCATCCTCTTCACATTCCTCTACATAGTGAGCTCACCATTTTACTGTATGGTTCTATTGTGACCTTGTTGTCAGTACATGCCACGAAGAGGCGGAATGTGGAAACTGGCCTAGGAACGTGCTCGCTCCTGTTTTGTCACTGTGGATGGCTGAGTTGAATATATCAGTGGTTAGCTGCCACATTCAACGTAACGCAGACGAGACAGCTGTAGCGCCGTGTCAATACGCCGTTGTCTTTCAATATTTCTTCCCTCCATCACGTGTATAACTTATTTGTCATCCTCTGCTACTTTGATCTCGATATTATTTAACTTTACATTTCATTTTCCTTTATCGACCATAGTTCCTGTTTGATAGGCATGACTGAAATGGCGAAACTCTAACGTCTGAATTACCGTGAAAAGCTCCCGTCTAAACACCAGTAATTGTATTCACTGCATGAGTTTGACAACCGCGAATTGTTATCAGTCTGGGTTACTTGTTTTAGACAGCCGTTCACTCGCTCTTATAGATTTACTCTGTCAAATTTAAGCCACAACACTAATGCTATCGAATTTTGTGCAAAACGCTCAATCGTAAAATGAAGCATTTTTATCGACAGAGGAGAGGAGTGTATTAGATAAAACACGATCTCGATGCAACGGGACACTGGTTTGGGAGGGACAGCGGTGTGCAATTGATCAAATCGCGGTACTCTGTCTGTGTCTGCCGTGCTCATGGTTAATACATACAGTTGCAACGTGCTTTTCGTCCTTCATCACAGATCGCCTAAGTGTACGATGAAATGAAAATTTAGTTGCAGGTTTACATAACGATCACAGACAAAGCGGGACACACCCTGACTGTCATTGTTTCGCCGTCTGGAGATTCTCCTGGTTTACCTAGTTTCTTTGTGGTAAATGCTGACCAAAATTACGGTCGTAAGTGCGAAAGTTTGAAGTACACATTGAGTTCGTTAGTTGGACTCAAGCAACGGGTGCTACTCAGCTCCTCGGCTGGACTGCAACACACCAGTACGATGCTTGTTGTTGTCTACCTCGTTCCCCCGAGCTCGCAACGCACATTATTGATGTCATTTTATAGCTAGTATACCCTAATCCTTTTACCGTAAAAGAGCTTGTGAGTTTGCACATTCTGTTTTTGGAATCGCAATGGGAACTTTTGCTAAAACTGTAAGATTGTTTAGATTGTACGGTGAATATTCGCCTCCATGTCGGGATAGCGAGTCATGAAGCCATATCCCAGGTTCAGCCATATGAAAGCAACTTCTACAAGCTTTAGTGAAAGTGAACTCCGGTTGCCCTCCTACGATATATCTGACTGGCATTGTCGTACCGACCCGGTAATTTCCAATATGTATCAGATTCAAATGGCTCATTTCTATTCTTTGATGAGTTACTTGCATCTGATGCATGATTACGTTACGCATGTATGGTGTGGTATTCATATGCCGTGGCTTGACCTCCTAGTCTGAGTAGAGGTCACTGCTTATCGCATCACCATGCAAAATGATAACTAACGATGAACCATAAATGAGCATTGAGCTTACCAGTATATTTCTTCCCAAGGGCCTATGTTCCGCGCACGTGTATGTTTGACCATTAATGTGTTATAATCCCAGGGACAAGTGAACTGGTTCAAAGCACTGTTGCTGAGCAGATTCGCTTTCAATGATTGAGCACGTTCAAAAGAGTGACTACAAACACCTGATTACAAGCACGCAAATCAAGTGACTTGTCAGCTGGCAAAGTGCATCCCATTGTACTTAGCACAGATAAAGTCCACGGTACCACAGCTGCCAATAATCATCGGGATACTTCCATATGCGTCTCAGAGTTGACTACTTTGACATTTCTAGGTGTCCATCTAAATCATGGAGTCTAAGTAACCCGTCGGCACCGTGAATATGCTGTTGGTCTCTTCATAGCAACCTACGTATTGGTATTAGTTACACTGGATCAGTCCTTTAATCAGGAGTGAATGCATTTCACAGGCAACGCAGTTCCTAGGATGTACACAATGAACATCTGTAATGCACGGCAAAAATAATTAGTACCGTTCACTTGTGAACTGCGTTAAACTGGAACAAACTGACACAAACCATTCACATGTATGTGCTGGTCTGCGGGTGCGTTTCGGCTGACGCACTCTATGACCCTGTGAGCACATAGACGCCAGCCAACTGGCGAACCCAGATGTTTTGAATACGTACCGAATTACGCTGGCATCCAGCCTGAGTAAGCGCTCACTGAATAGTTGTAGGTCACTGGTAGCCTTCTCATCAGACCTTGCTAGTAGCAGGTAACTCCTCATGTGGTTATTCCAATAGCCAACGTGGACTTAGGGTCTCCTCGCGGTTTCTGGAACTTATCGTTATTCGCCGGTACATTCTGGCTGGAAATGAACACAACGAGACAGTAAAGAGCTGAGCGTAAAAATCTGTTTTAGCCTAAAGATAGACTGCGAATCCTGATGGTCTCATCGTGCGTAAGAGATGGAAGTGGCCACTGCCTTTGGTAACCATCAAAAGTTATTCCGTCTGATACAAGAAACGAGCGGCAGGAGATCTGGAGTTCATGATAATATAGGTGAGGACACGACCTGTCAAAAAGCTTGGAGCGTTCAGCTGAGCACTTTGCAAAGCAATTTAATCCGCCGGAATTGTTAGATTTTTCATCGGCCGGTGATCTCCCGCTCCCTGGGCTGTTCCATTTGATCCACCTTCTTGCTCAGAAGTCGAACGTGAGATAGGACTGGTGAAGTTGAATAAGGCCGCGGGCCCAGGTGCTCTTCATCCAGCCCTCTTCAAATTCGGGGGACTATGTCAAGTTGATGAATTACACAAATTACTAGTGAAAATATGGGAGCAAGTAGCCGTCACAATCGACTGCAGCCGCTCCGTGATAGTACTATTTTCAAAGGGGCCTCACGTTCGGAATGCGGCAACCACATAGGAGTCAGTCTGATCTCCATCCCATCCAAGTTGCATGCCTTTGTCATCCTTCACAAACTGCTGGCACCCGTGAAAGTCAGATCGGTGAGGAGTAAGCCGAGTTTCGTCGAGATCGCGGTTACATTGATCACTTCTTCACTTGACGTCAATTGTTAGTGAACCATAATATATATTGGCGGCCCACCGCTGTCGTGATCCTCGACATCATAGGTGCCTTAGATTCGGTTGGTCGATGTACCATTTGGGATTGTCTATTCAAAAATGCTGTGTCAGTGAAAGATGCAAATATTATCCGAGCGCTCTACTCGCGTAACCCAGTCACAGTGAGGGCCTACAGCAAGTTGTCGCTGCCTTTCGATATCTCCAGTGATATGAGACAAGGATGCTCGCTGTCACCTTCCTTCTAGAATTCTTTATTGACGAAGCCATTCGAATAGCGTTAACAGGACACGATTTAGAAGGGGTGATCTGCTCCAATGTGACGACTTCTTGACTTGCAGTATGCTGACGACGTTGCCCTCATCTGTGACAACTCACATTCGTGCCAAGCAGCACTAGACAGATTAGAACTGGCTGTCAGTCGTTTCGGATTTCGCTTTGCACTCTCGAAGTGTAAAACATGGGTCTCTCCTGCGCTGATTAATGGTGGGGATCAGTTAGAAGTCGCTAAAATTTCAACTACCTAGGTAGTTGTATTAAGGCGGTTGAAATAATAGAGGTCATAAACTATATGGAAAAAGCTCTAGGTGCTTTTGCTTACCTTCACCACTTTTGGGGCCTTTGTGACAGCACTCTTTCCTTGAGGAGTAGAATGTACAATGCCGCCGTACGTTCGACTCTACTGTACGATTGAGAATCCTATCCCAGTAAATCGGCAGACGTAAAGAAGATGGTTACGTTCGACCGCCGGTGTCTTCACTGTTTGGCTCATATCTGACGAGAAAACCACAAGAGCAGTGCGCCTTGTTTACGGTGCGGAAAGATGACTGAACTGATTAGCACCGTCATATCAGGTACCAACCTCCGCTAGCTGGGTCACATGTTACGCATGCCAGCCCAACGACTCCCGCGACATGTGTTACTTGCTCGCCGAGAGTGTGGATGGAAGAAGAGGAGGGGAGGACAAATGATGACTTGGTAAAGATAAAATGAACGCCCTTAGTTTGAAATTGGCCTCTGTTGGAGCTTCTGTGATCCTAAGCTGGGGTCCGCAAGACGATGGACACATTTAGCTGGATAAACTTGTTGACATGGCTAGGAGCCAACCTCCGTGGCATTTGTGTTGAGTTTCTTTGTCCTTGTCCCTCCTGCTTAGCCTCCTCCTCTAATCCTTATCTCATCTCCTAGGCACAATGTAACCTTTTTGGGTACAGTAGTCGGCTCTCAGTCCTCCGGAACGATGTTCACTCCTTATTGTTGACTCAGCTAGCGTTCCTCTGTCGCGTGTTTTTCTTCTTCTTTTCTTATGTAGTGCGGCACAACAGCTGTTTTGCACCTCTAGATAAGACTTATGAACAACTTGGTCCTCGCTCGTCGTCGTCTCAGAAGCTAGAGCGCATCCTTTTGACGGACTTCATAATCCACCGGGAATTTTCATCTTAAGGATTACACTGTTTCACATGGTTTAATTAGTACCGACGACATGGCGTCATATTGGCTGAAACCGAGGAGTTCTGACTTGTGCGACTTTGGACACGGTTTAATAAGTGTATCTAAATGATTGGACAACATATTCTGTTTGCAGTGTGAATGCATGACAGCTCCGTCAAGAGCACGACCTCGGTGCGTTCGAGGCGAATAGTGAACAGAAATGTTGCCTACTGCTTCATCTCCATTTAGACTGCTAACTTTTGCAATTCGTAGTACATGGTATCGGTGTCTACTGGGTGGCTTCCTAATGCCGTGCAAGAGCCTCAAAGTCTAAGCACTTTTGCAGCTACCACCTAGGATCTGGCCAAATAATTAGGAGGGGTGGCTGAATTTCATCGCGCAGCGAAGTCCGTGCCTGCAAGATTCGAGCTCCGTATTTACCCTGAGATCCCCCACATGCGACACCGGCGGCACATTCTCATTGCGCCTGTCTGGCGATGATGCAGCTTCAAATGCCGGTCAAGCTGACGTCGGCATTGTTTTGAGTCCCCGGGCTGAAGCTGCCCTGATTGATTGGATCCCAGTAAACAGTAGGATGTGTGCCGTTAGTTTAGCTGGTTCGTTCCGTGCTACGAAGTCGCGCGGGGACAAACGGTGCCTGTTTGTCATTGCGGCTTACGCCCCTACAAACTGTAGCACTGATTCGGTAAAAGATGATTTCTATCAGCAACTTCACGAGCTCCTTCGTTACAGAAGAAGCACGGATACTGTGGTGTTGGCTGGTGGTCTAAACGCCTAAGTCGGAAAGTTGTCCTCTGATGAGCTTCATCTGGGCGGCCAACATGGTGTAGGCTCGCGTAACGATAATGGTGAGCGATTGCTACATCTGTGTGAAGATGCTCGCCTCTTTCTCGCGAGCACTAACTTTCGACACAGCACCCGCAGAAGCGTGACTTGGCGGCCATCAGCCTCGGGCCAACCATGGACACAAATCGATCATATCGCGATCAGTTACCGCTGGAGAGGCTGTGTCCAAAACTGTCGCTCGATTTGGAGGACGAGCGTGGACTCTGGCCACGCACTTGTCTGTGCCGATCTCCTGGTGCGTTTCGGTGGACGTCCGCAACGTCGATGTGCACGGATTGACACAAGCCAGCTGGCGAAGCCAGATGTTCTGAATGTATACCATAATGCGCTGACATCTGGGCTGGGTAAGCGCCCAGTAAACACCGTTGAAGATCACTGGTCGCATGTTCGTCAAACATTACTGTCAGCAGGCATGTCTTCATGTGGCAAAGCAAATTGCCAAACCGGAGATTGGGTTTCTACACAGTCTATGGAACTTATGGATGCTCGCCGACGTATTCCGGCTGGAAGCGAATACAATGAGGCTCGCAAAAATCTCAGGGCAAAACTACGTGCTAGCCTTAGGAAGGACCGCGAATCCTGGTGGTCTCATCGTGCCTCTGAGATGGAAACAGCCGCTGCCGTGGGTAATCATCGTAAGTTATTCCGTCTGATACGGGAAACAGGCAGCATGAGACCTGGTGTTAGCGAGACCATACGCGACGAGAGTGGGCAGCCGATCCACAGCTTGTCAAAACGCTTGGAGCGTTGGGCCAAACACTTTGCAAGGCAATTTAACAAACCTGAGTTATCGCTTTCTTCTTCGGGCATTGAGCGCCCTTTTCCTTGGGCCGTCTCCTCGGATCCGCCCTCACGCGCAGAGGTCGAACGTGAGATCCGGCTGTTTAAATTGCATAAGGCCTCAGGAGCAGATAGAATTCCCCCAGCCCTCTTCAAATTCGGGGGACCTGCTCTAGTAGATGATCTACACGAGTTGCTAGTAAGACTTTGGGAGCAGGAGACAGTCCCGACAGACTGGAACCTCTCCGTCATTGTCCCAATTTTCAAGGGAGTCTCTCGTTTGGAATGCGGCAATCATAGAGGGATCAGTCTGATTTCGATTGCCTCTAAATTGCTTGCCTCTGTCATTCTCCACAGACTGACTGGCACTCGTGAAAGCCAGATTCGTGAAGAGCAAGCCGGATTTCGTCGAGGTCGGGGCTGCATCGACCACATCTTCACATTGCGTCAAGTGTTGGAGCACCGCCATGTTTATTGGCGACCCACCGTTGTCGTGTTTCTTGACAT